TGTGCATGCTTCTTTGTTGCTTTTCGCATGAATTGGTGTTAATTGCGTGTTCTGTTTGCCAGTACGCCTGTGCTGCCTTGTATCTCATTCACAGCGTCCACTCGGTGCAAATCACCACCAGTGTCATCCTTATCACCACCACTGACACCACCACTGACACCGTCAACCCTCAGGCGGAGCAGGAAGGAAATGCGCAGCGCGTGTCGCGTTTGCACGAGAAAACGGCGGCGGTACTGGAGCTTCTGGACTCCAAGGTCTATCAGGTGCGATAATGGGTGAAGATGTATGGTGTCAGTAGCGGTGCGAAAGTTGAGCAGACTTTGGTGTTTCTCTTGCGCTTTCCTGCCCCAGTCGTGGCCACTGTGACACGTGCTCGCTTCTTACGCACTGTTCACACAAACAACAAACACACTCCACATGTACACGCATGCGACAATGTGTTAACTCTTTTACACACGCATGTTTCCTTCTTTCCGCCTCAGGCTGAGACACTGCGCCAGTGGCAGGCGTCTGCTTGTCGCTCGAAGAAGGGCAAAGCAAAGGCAACCAGAACAGCAGCGAGTACAAAGGGGCGCAAGGCGTCTGCTGCTGCCACCACCAAACATGGCAGGAAGCAAGCTGGTGCCAAAGCCAAGCGCCGCAGCAAGCAGAATGGAAAACCCTCCTCCTTGTCATCATCACCAGCGGCTGCGGCGTTCGCAACGTGTGGTCGCGGGTGTCGTGGGCGTGGACGACAGCAAACGATTCCGCTGGACGCAAACTTGGATCTTCTGCGACGCGCGCGCCAGGCGCAGCGAACGCTCAAGGCTGCAGAGCTGAGCTGGGACTACGCGTAGCCGCTACTGCATGTAGTTGTGTGTGTGTGTGTGTGCGTGTGTGTGTGTGTGTGCTTGCCCGTGTGTTTGCGTGCACACCTGTGTCTGCGTGCTTGCCCGTTTATGTGCTCGTGTTGTGAGTGTGTAGCTCCCTACCTGTTTGGTTGTCGGCTTGTCTGCTTTTGATGTGTTCAAGATGAAGTGTTTGGGTTAGGTGCAGGAGCGTGTGGGCGTTGCAATCTCGCTGGTGGGCGCGACCCGCAGCTTTCATATTTACAACTCCATGTTGGATGTGACTCGTAACAGTTGTTGCTTCTTGTTGACGATGCGCTTATTGTATTGTACATACCTCTTGTGCCGCACTGTCGTGGTCGAAAGAGTGTAACACAAGCCATGGCAACGCAAACCGGCTGACCACTTGGAAGCAAGGCGCACAAGAAGGGACGGGGAAATAGAAGAGGGATGTCGTGCATACAGTCATACGGCACATCATCAGGGTTGCAGATGTCATGAGATTGTGCACATGCTTGATTTCTTGCTGTCACTCACCCCACCACTGCCAGCGCCACTGCTGCCTTTTCCTTTGTGTTTTGGGCGGCGTGGGCTGCATAGAAACGCGTTCTTCTGTCGCGCCACCACCTCCGGCCGCACGTTCACAATCTCCTCTGGTTCCTCTGCAATGCGCACGCTCTTGCCTGGCTTCGCCCGACTTGCCACGCCCGTATCGCTCCTGTCGTTGGCAATGGCGGGGCTGCTGTCTTGGGCACCACTGGTCGTTGTGCCTCCATCGGATGCGGTGGCGGCTGGCTGCTGAGCCGTCTCCTCGCCGCCCTTCCTGCTGACACCACCACCGCCATCATCAGTAGCATCGTCGTCGTCGTCGTCATCATCGTCCACGCTGAGCTCATCATCATCATCATCTTCTTCTTCTTCATCGTTGTCATCGCCAGTGTTGGCGTTCGTTTTGCTGTTGTTGCTTGAAGCGGCAGGCTGCTCCGTGGTGCTGCAGCCATCACGGTGCTCACTACCATGTTCATCACCACCATCACCTCCATCTCCTCCATCTCCTCCATCTCCAGTGCCATCAGCGCGCGTGGTGCCCAGCACAGGGCGATCAAGGGGCGTCAAGTTATTCAACTCGGGCACGGGCGGTAGAAGTGCAAACCCCGTGACGGGCTGGAGGGACCGCAGCTTTCGTCGCTGCGCGCGCGCATTGCTGAAAGCGGCCGAGTGGACAGCGTTGTTGAACTCTGCTGCCGTGTGCCGCGGTGTGAGAGGCGGCAGGCGACTGGTGGCTTTACCAGGCGTCCGCACTGGCGTGAGTGGTGAGGGTGATGGTGCGTCAATGGGCGCGAGCTGTGTCGTTGGCGTTGGTGGCGTGACCATCCACGGTGGCGATGATGGCTGTTGCTCCTGCTCCTGCTTCTGTGTCTGGCCCTGGTCCTGGTTTGATGGGGACATCACGTCAGGCGGCGTGCTGGTGCCGGCGTCACTCGCCTCTGCTTGCTTAGCATCTGTCTCATGCACCATGGCACCGTCACGGCCACCATCGCCGCCATCAGCACCGACAGCTTCTCCTGCATCATGATCGCCAGCCGTATCGCTTGTCTGCGAACCGGCGCCGCCACCATCACCATCATCGCCATCTTCCCCCTCCTCGTCATCGTCGTCATCGGTCCACGCAGCGGCAAGGGCAGTGTGGTTGCTGCCACATGCGACGTGTTTCGCTTTGAAGCCGTCGTCAAGATGAACGCGCGTAAACCCGTGCACATCCTGCTTGACATCTGACAGTCCGAGCACTTGGTGGCGGTGTGTTCCTGTTGCGTATAGCGCACCGCCGCTCGTCACCAGCACGGAGTGCGCTTCCCCTGCGGCGATGCAGAGAATTGCGGTCGCATCTGTGCCTGCAGGCAACGGGACGGGCATTGGTGTTGATGCAAACAGCGTTGACTGCGGTAATCCGAGCTGGCCAGAGCTGTTGTCGCCAAACGCATACAGCCCTTCGTCTAATGTTCAAGTGGGGGGGGGGTGGTAGCGATGGCGAGTGAGAAAACATGAACGTGATGGCAACATGAAAGGAGGGAGAAACGAATAAGAGAGGTTCCTTTGTTGTCAATGTGTGAGTGTGTTTGTGTGTGTGTGTGTGTGTGTGTGTGTGCATATTGGGGCAAGCCTGATTCAGTATTGTCGTCAACCAGTGGCGCATCACGTGACATGCCCAGAGCGCCTGGTGATGAGGAAGTGTGACCACCAACCTGTGAGCAGGAGCGTGTGGTTTGCGCCACAGGCAACTTTCATCGCCTTTCCTTCAAAGCCGCGAATTTCCTTTGGTGCGTGCACCTCATCGTCATCAGTCTCAACACCGAGCTTGCCGCCTTCCGTCTCGCCAAAGCCAAACGCCTGCCCATTGTCTGCACCGTGCAGTGGCGTAACAAGGGGGGGGGGGTTGAACGTGTGTGTGTGTGTGTGTGTGTGTGTGTGTGTGTGTGTGTGTGTGTGTGTGTGTGTGTGTGTGTGTGTGTGTGTGTGTGTGTGTGTGTGTGCGTGTATGAGGCCATCAACGCGTTGCTCGCGCAGCAGTGACACCCACAATCAGCCACAATTAACACACGCACACGCACAATTAACACACGCACACATGAGCGTACCCATGACGACGATGGTGTGGGAGTAACCACAGTCGATATCCACTGCCTTTTTCCCTTTGCTCTTGATCTTGACTTGTTTCGGCTGCTTCCCCCGCACAGAGAAGAGTGCACATGAGAGTGTGTGCCTGTGTGCGACTGTGTGCATGCATAAAAACACCTCCGTTGTGTCTTTGCGTGTGTGTGTGTGTGTGTGTGGTGTTTTGTGTGAGTGTGTGTGTAG